TTCTATTAATTATTGCATAGAAGTTTAATGGAGGTAGGTACGATAGATTAGCTAAGTAGTACTGTTTTCTTAATAATAATGCTAGAGATACCGATACCAATTAACGAAAACACCCTGGAGTCATGTTCACCCCTAAATAGGGTTCTAGCACCTGCATCATTTAGAAAACAAATTTCGTTAATTGGTATTAGTATACCGGTACGGTTTTAGGTTCTAAGGTATATAAGGTAAGTTCTACGTTCCAAAAATTGGAAAACGTATTCCAACAGATAGGTTTCAAGTACCAGGTCACCTGGAACCCGGAATTTAGAACTCAAATCAAATCTTTGTGTTTTTCTTGTTCTATGTTTTTGCCCGATCCTGTGGTATCCCATAGCGTCCAATGATGAGTACGTAATATGAAACTACTAGTATGAGCTTCCATTCAGGCGATATCCATGACTAAGACTTTTACTTTGTTAATGTTTCATATTCTTCGTGTATCTAAATATGAGTTGTGATCAGTGGATTGTAGTAAAAGGTGATCATTAGAGGTGATGATTTACTGCAATCGTTCAATTAATAGTATATGGGGAACCTGGGTAGATCCTGAAATCGACCTTGGAACCTGTGACACTGTAGGTTTTAGGTTCTTAGGTACGCAAGGTAGATTCCAGGTTCCAAAAATTAGAAAACCTGTTTCGATGAGTAGATTTCAAGTTTTAGGTGGAACCTGGGCGGAACCCAAAACCGCTAACTCCTAATCCTATTGGAGGATAAATATGTTACACTGGTTCAATGCCCTCTTCTTGTTTGACATATAACTTAAAAATCTGTTTTGTAAGCTACTCTTATCTCTGGCACTACTCTTTCCTAAAAGCACATTCACAAAATTGGTTTGCTGATTAGTAAATGGAAGCCTCCTATTGGACATTCAAATATAATGGCACTGGTTTAAATATCCATATACAGTTTGACTCTGAATTTATTTATTTTCTTGGTCAGTGGCTCTGAATTTACTCTACAGGTTTTGTTCATCAACCCAGTAACCCAGGTAACGCACACTCTCTCTTTTACAGGGGAGAACCACTTTTTCTTTTACAAGAGAGGACCAATCTTGTGCAACATCTTTTTGTTAAGGAAATTATTACTCAGACTTATTCTAAATGGTGAAGCTAACTCACCTTTTATGTCCCATGATTAATTCTATTAATGACATGGTTTTATGCAATGCTTTCTTGCAAATCTTTCAACCTTGACCAAAGTAATTACGTGTCTTCCACGTACTACCGTAGTAATTATTATGGAGGAAGTTACACCTTTGAACCCTAATTCGCTGAGACCTTTATCTTCTTGAGACAATTGCCTTCTTGACCTTTGAAGTGTTTGATTTATCCTATCCCTGTTTGGACGTTGCATCAGCCAACTAAATAGGGCAGGAAAGGTGTCAAACTTATAGTTACCCTTCCTATTTCTTGAAGCTTTCCCATATTGACATAACAAAGAGGAAGAAACAGTAACCATGGGTCTTGAAATAGAGTATATAGTAAGGCATGTAGTACTTGAGCTTCTTTCCCGAGTTTGCCTTTGGATTCTTTCCTTTAATCGCACAAATCTGTTAGAAATTGTGTATTTAGGAGAAGAATCACTGAAAAAAAAAACCCGTTGAATGATACTCGTTGTGCCATGACCAGGATAGAAAAGAAAAAGATTCTATAGTCATGCGAGTGAAACCCTAAGAAATTGCAGGACTTCATTTGCTCAGACATTAATTGTGTCGAACCTCGTCGTAATCATGTCCCTTCGCGTTGTACATTGGACCAACTAATTGATCAAGAGATGGTGGGAATATGACGCACGTTGCGAAAAGGACTTAAAAGGAAGAAATTTCTTTCTTTATAGCAAATTGACCAGATCTATTGGGAGATGTGTGCGCACATCCTCTTCCTTTTGTTTCCTCCAAAGAAAAGCTTGTCTGTCAGTTTATAATGAACAGCTTGAATATTGTTGGCAAGATGCCCTTTTGTCATCTTTTTTGGGTTTTGACAATTCAACAGACAAATTTTTCTCTCGATTTTAGTTTCAGTATTTTATACCGCGCTAAAAGGAATCCATCTCCACCTGGTCATCAGATGCAATTAACTGGGAAATAAGACAAAAAAGAGAAAAAAAAATCTTTTTTGGCTAGTCATCATCTTCAGAGGACTAAAATAATTGTGTGATTACGTTGATTGAAGCGGCGTACTATCTGGGATTTCACTTATCTAAATTGGTTATTCCGTCTTCATAGATAATAAGATATAAAACTTTCATTAATTTATGTAGTGTGTTTCACAGTTTTCGAGGATAATAGACAGATGTTTGCTTTATAATTCAGCAAGTTGTTGCTCTTTACTATCGTATTAGATTCAGATATATATCAAATATAAATCATTTGGACAATTGTGGTTAGCTACTTGAATATGAGATAATCCATCAGCACAGGTGAACTTACAAAAGAACAATATCTTCCGAAGGATGATGTATGACTGAAAGAGATCACAAACTTATAGCAGAGGCTAATAACCTAGCCAATGAGGTATCTCTACAAACCAACACATAATATAAGTTTATATTTTTGTGAGTACCATATGCATAATTTTGTTCAGCATTATACTCATAAAGTAAGTTCGCTCAACAATTTCAGTTTCCTTTCATCTTGGTTAACTCCTGTGCCATTAGAAGTGTCGTCCACATAATGTCCTTCATGATTTTGATTGCGTACACACGGTCCATGCAAACTTTAGTGTCTGGGATTTTGAAATGTATCCTAAGTATATAAAGGTCAAAAGACAGCCTTTAAAATAATATGTGCCACCTATCTAAATTATCTTTTGACGAGTTAAATGCTCGAGCTCCCTTGAACTCAATTTATGCTTTGACGAGCTATTCTCTCGTCTCACACCCACACATAAAATCTGACAAATCTCCATCTGTATAGATGTTTGCCATATTGGACCTCTATTCAATGCTCAGAAGAAAAGGAAGGGTGTGAAACAATCCATTTTCATATCCAACAGAACATGTCATAAAGCAACATGACTTCTCCAAAACAAAAGCCAATCTGAACACACACACACACACACAGCTAATAAAACCAAGCAACAAACAACCTTCCTTACAAAACGACAAAAAATACTTTATAAAAAAACAACAAAGCCTCACACCAGTAGCATCTAAGGAACCGGAACCTTGTCCCTTAGGCCAAGCAGCAACTTTATCCTAACAGCATACTTGCTAACCAACCTTCGACTTATCCATTTATTTTGAGGTGGAATCCACATGAACTGTCAAGTTACTTATAAGAAGTTGTTGCTATATGAATGAACTAATCAAGGTAGTTTCATCTTAAAAAGTTGTCCTGTGACTAAACTATGTTCTAACGTCGACTCTAAGAAAGAAAAAGGCCATTAATTGAAGCCAAATATGAAAAATACGGCATTGAATGCTACCACATAATGAGCATTTACAGAGATGCCATGCTTTCATATAACAGATTAAAATTTTCAAATAATTGGTAATTGGTCCATCAAAACTCCACATGCACATCCATTAACTCATTATAGGCACCTCCGTAGGCGATCTTAAAGGCATTCTCCCTCGTTGGCTGGGTGCATTCAGAATTTTACTCGTGGAGTGCTCCAACAAGGCTTGAACCTAAGACCATAAGGAAGAGAACAAACTCATTTACCATCTAAAGCAACACCATGTTGACTCTTTCACATTATCATCACTTTCCATTATATAGTAATGCACATGCATTCATCTTATTGCAAGCATGGATTTTCACAAAATGTGAATGTTTGAAGTTGACGATTTCTTTTAAGTTGCTCTATCATATTATAAAAGATCAGACTTATGGCCGTCCTAGCAAGAGTAGATTGAGTTCCTCATAAAGAAAAATAAAGATAGGATATGAACAATATATATGGCTATATATCTACAAGCCTAACTCATTAGATACAAATAATATACGCAATAAAGACCTTATTTAAACCTATATAATGAATGATTTGGGACATCTCAGAATTCATCCTTATAACTTTAGTTTTTAGCAAGTCCAATGATTATAGGAAGTGACATGCATAAATAATCTTTGATGTGTGAGATATTATGATATTACTGCCAACTATTTTAAAATCACACGTATGTTGTACTAGGAGCCTAGAAAAATTTGAACTAAGGACATTTTTCTCTAATACCATGTGAGAATTTGTGGGACCACTACTAACTATTTTAAAAGCTTAAGTTGCTAGATGAAGGCATGGCTTAATATTTGAATATTCTAACACAATGCTTCGTTACTATCGCGTTGTCCCCATTTCTCTCCTTTTTCTTACATAATCTTAATAAACATCAAAAACTTATTTGTATCTAATGTGTGAACTATCAGGGAGGAAATTTCTTAGCATTCTTCATTAAGCCTAACACTTGAAGCACAATATACTGATGTGAATGTATCAATATATAAGTCACAAGCAAACTTGATTAACTAGCTTAATAATGAGAAGATGAAATAAAGAAATTGAACTCTTGATGAGACGTTAGGTGACTATTTATTTCAAAAGTATACACAGTCAGAAAGTATTGCGTATATCAAACATATTTCTTATTTAAAATTTCCGAGTGACAGAATCTTCATCCAATTGGATCTTAGGCAGAGGGTTTTCAAATGATGCCAAAAACATACACCAATCAACATTGCTTCCAACCTCCGACCAAAAAAAAAACACATTGCTTCCAACCAGTGAAAATGACACCATGTCACAAGTTTCTAGGAAATTCAATTTGATTTAAAAAAAATCAGTGCGAACCTTTTGAATTTGGTGGAATTTAGAAAACATGTAAATGTGGGACCAACCCTAAATATATATGGAAAGCAAGTCTTAGAGTTCCTGACATTATCATTTAAGCCAGAGAATTAATAGCACAGCCACATTACTTCTCTCTCTTCCCCCACGAAGTCAAAAGCTAGCTCAAAAATGGTGAGACCCCTACTTAGACCCAGCAAGAACAACAGTACAACAGTGAAGAGGGGTACTTGGAGTGGGGAAGAAGATCAGAAGCTCATTGCTTATATCAGGAGATATGGCATTTGGAACTGGACTCACATGCCCAAACCTGCTGGTATGAAATTTCCATATGATAATCTTGTTTTTGGCTGATCTCTGTATCTGGTTTTGTTGGGTATAATATCAACCTGAGTATTGATTATGTGTCTGAATGACTCAGGTTTGGCAAGAACTGGGAAAAGTTGTAGACTTCGATGGATGAACTATCTGAGGCCTAACATCAGGCATGGAAACATCACCAAAGAAGAGGAGGACCTGATCATCGAGCTGCACCGACTTCTGGGAAATAAGTAAGTTTGCACAATCATACCTCTGTAAAACCTAACAAAAGATTAAAAAAAATCACCTCTGTAAATTTATTTAGCAGCACTAGGCGGAGAAAGTACAATCTTCAAATCACTGCTGCATAAAACACTTCATTTCGTTCGTACAAACGACTTTCGGTTCCACAATGATAGCCTGCAGGTACTTCTTGATCAGTTGTTGTTTTAGATTGTTGCTATGTCGTTTTCTTCTTCTTCTTTTTCTGGGAAGAAAACCCTTCTTCAAATATGATCCTTGGCTCAAATGAATAGCATCGACTAAAAGGACATATTTCCTAGGCAAGCTACTATTATTAGAAGTGTATAGCACAAAGTCACACAGGCACATATGCATATATACGCACACAGAGAGCGCTAATGCTCTTCAAACAGCGGAGAAAGGTGTAACATCTATCTATTCAAAGATTTCAGAGATACAAAATCCAATATAATTCCTAGATAGTCAAAGTTCGATGGCTTCCGAAAAAATGATTGCATAGCTTGATGTGAAATGACTAATAATGTTAAGCTACCTACTGTGTATATAGCTTCTTCAAATTAATTGGTAAGGATATATACGGAAGCTAGTACCTACAGGAGATGAATATTAACAGAATAATTAAGCAAAATTTGAGCATGAGATCAGAGGGAGGGAGGGAGGGAGAGAGAGCATACATACAATTAGGTCACGTGTATATAAGTACAGTACTTGTGCTACATAAACATATGTTTGTGATTGTAGACAAATGTATGATTCTTGATTAAATTCTTCTTGCAGATGGGCGGCTATAGCAGCTAGTCTTCCCGGACGGACTGATAATGAAATAAAGAATTATTGGAACACCCGCCTGAAGAAACGCGTCAGCAACAGGAACAAGTTGCAAATTCTGACCACATGTAATAGTAAAGTTAAGCCCGATCACAATGACAGTTCATCCCATCCATATGGATCTCTTCCCACCTTTGATAGTCCGAAATTAGAACCCAACATTGGATCTCAAAATGAAATTCCAACAATGAGTGCTAATAGCTTCTGCACCTCTTATGAAGTTCACCGTGATGACAAAACCTCGGAGGATAGCTGGTATTCACCATCCAGCTTGACTAAAGAAGAAGAAAGCCTGTGGGAACAATTTCTTCCGATGGGAGATCTTGAAATTGTAGAATATTTCGGTGGCATGTACATGCATTTGGGAGCTACGGCCCCTGCCCTTGTGTGCATGCAGCATGACTTCGCCTACCACAGCAGTTCCTGTGAAGAATTCATCATGGATTTATGGGGAAAATGATGATCGCTGAAGGCACTCGTACGCAGATGAAGAGTTGCCATATGATTACTTTGTAATGTCCTGTTAGGGGTCGTGGTTCATTCTAAGGATGGTCTAGTGGATTTATCGTGTTCTGTGGAGAAATGATGAACTTATAATCACAATTCCATGCATGTTCTTTTACAAAGATTGCATGTTGCAAGATGATTACTCTGCAATCTCAATAGCCATTCATTAGCTAGTTGGATTGGCAAAGGCATAGCAATTGAAAAAGTTTGAATGGCTCTACCTTCAAATTACATCTGAACATATATTTCCAGCATACAGTGCTTCAGCAAGCGTAATCGCAGTGTTCAGTGCAGTTTTTTATCCTCGGTAACACTACTTTACCTCGCAACAAGTTATGAGATGGCATGGCAACATGATGTGGCATTGATGACATGACATGGCGACATGGCGAGATGACATGGCATAATGACGGGGGCAAGATGGCATTGTATAATGATGTGGCATTAATGCCGAGGCATGATGACATGTTAATTCTATATGCACATGCATGTTATTTTTTGTGATTTTTCAGTTCAGATAGAAAACTGCCTAAAATATGAAAATAAGTTATCTAAAGTCTGTTAGGACTTCCTAACAGAAAGTTCGTAAACTTGTGGAACATTAATAAGAGTGCAGCCAGCTCACATACAAATGAAGCACTAAGCACAATTAATCATCCTCTGCGAGACATATGTTCTTTACTGGTTGACTGGTGCTTGCTTATTAGATGAAGTACGAAGCACAGTCAGTCTTCAAATCTATTAGGGTTACAATACTTCACTAGAAATTATGATTATTTGTGAAAAATAAAATTTGTAGTGTGTACATCCGTTCGTTGTTCTTGAATAATAAAAACTTAAAAAAGTAGTATGACTTAAGAAAATTCGATAGCCAATTATTCATTTAGATAGATCATCTTAATCATATGATTGAAACTCTAGATCTAACTGTATTCTAATCAGACAAAGAAAATAGCTGGTAAATAAAAATATGCACAGTTAGCTTTTTGTTACTAAGTTATTCTCACGTCTTTATACTAGATAAATTGATCCTTGAGTGCATTTGAGATATATTGATCTTGCTATATAAAATACAAAAGAGAAAAGTTTAGTCTATCAAGAGATTCAGATACTAAAATGGTGACAAAGCTTTTGCAAAGAACGTAATTACAGCTGTCCACCATTCGCCAAGGTAATTGTTTTTTGGTTGAGAAAAAAGCAGTGGATAATGTGGAGGCATCACCCAATACATGGGTCCGCGGGCTCTGTTGTTTTCATGATAATCAGGTCATAATTTAGTCCCCCACAGCAAGTTGATTTGGTCAGCTTTTTGGTGGAAAACATAGAATATGTTGCATCTTAGAACGTGCGTTTTATGCTCATTGATAGAAACAAAAGTTGATCCACTGTTATCACATTAAAAAAATGATATAAATACTTTTATTGTTGATCTACTCAATACGACAGTCTGTGATTTCATTTGATTCTCTAAAAAAAAATAAAAACTAACCTTTTTATTTTTAATTGTGATTTCTTTGCTATACAAGAAAGAAATAGAAAGAGGTCTACATTGAATCTAGATTGACAACTAAGCAAGACAAACGATCAACAAAATCAATGCAGTCTTAGGTTTTCTAGGGTTCCGCGTCTACAATAGTTTTGGGGGACAACAATTTTGTTTAAAAGCTAGATAATTCTCCTAGTTTTGAATGGATATTTCTTGTATAGAAAAATTCTCCTAAGTGTTCCTCTAATTTGTGTCATGTTGCGAAAGAACGAAAAAAATCATAAAAGTATGAAATTTTTTTTTTGAATAAGCCAGTACTTCATGGCATGATCTTTTTTTTTTTTTGGTAAGGTAAGAATTTTATGTACTTTTCAACGCGTGTCATATAGAGAAAGTAGTCGAACACAAAAACCTCGCACTTGAGGCGACACAACAAGTGTCCCGACAGGTGCAAAGGTGTAGCGACTAATACTGGGGCTACAAGCAAGAGTGCATAACACCAAGGCCACAAAGATGGCCAACAGAAACAGAGACCTACAAACTACTTACAAAGTAATCAAAAGATTACTCAAAAATGGAAGGGGAGATGCCCCATTTTTGCTGTATTCTTCTGTTGCGAACGCTATCTACAACAGGCTTCATGGACAAGCCTTTGTCTCTTACAAGTTTAGTGAGGTGGTTGCGGAGGGCCGGCATAAAAACGGGACGAGACCTGAATAGAATGTGGTTTCGCTCCAACCAGATGATATGGCACATTGCGCCAAGAGCAAATCGAGCAATTTGCTGATGAAAGTTCTGGCCCCCAATAATTCGGATGGCCCAATGGAGGTTTTCTTGCCAAGATCTATTTCGCCAGATAAGATTACAGTTATTTGCCCAAAATAAAGCAAGAGTCCCGGTGACAGCACATCCAAAAAAAAGATGGTCAATAGAGTCGAGTCTGTTTCTACAGAAGGCACAGACACCTTCGGAGATTCTGTGATAGCTTAGCAAAATGACTTGCGTAGGGAGTCTCTTCAAAGAGATGAGCCATAGCAAGAAGTTGTACCTTGGCGCAATGGCTCGATCCCAAATGAAGGATCTCCATGGAACATATGGGCCTTTGTTTCTTATAAGTTCCCACGCCGAAGAAGTGGAAAACAATCCGGAGGAATGGCCTTTCCAAGTAAAGCGATCAGGCCTCTCCGCATCAAGAGCCGGGATACTATATGTCCAAGAGTTGAAAATATCCAGAAAATTAGAGTTTTGCCGGACGGAAGAAGAGAAATCCCGAATCGATGCATTTCTTGGGATACTAGAACGATATATGTCTCTATCAGAAAATAGTTTATAGAGAGGGCCCCTAGGATGCCAATTATCAAACCAGAATGAAATGGACGCCCCGTCACCCATCTTCCAAAGGAAGTTTAGCTGGAAGTCCGTGAGAAGTTCCAGGATTTTTTTCTAGGTCCAAGAACAGAAAGACAGTTTGGTTGCCACCCAGAAATTTTTTTTCTTGAGAAAGTTGGAATGTATCCATTTGCACCATAAGGACTCCTTATCGATGAATAGAAGCCATATGTGCTTGAGCATTGCAGCCCTATTGCAGTCCGTAAGCCTCCGAATGCCAAGCCCCCCTTCCGCCTTCGGGAGGCAGACTTCATTCCAGGGCACTTTTACGCCACCAGCTCCCAAGTCGAGTCATTTCCAGAGAAATTGCCTGAGTATCATCTCAATTCTCAAAAGTACTGATTTGGGGAGAGTGAAGACACTTGCCTAGTAGACCTGTGTTGCGTGAAGCACTGAAGTGATGAGTTGTAATCGTCTAGCGAAAGAGAGAAAACGTTGGGACCAATATCGAGCTTTGGCCGTGATTATGTTTACCAGATGGCAGCAGTCAGCTTTGGACAGTCGAGAGGCAATGACCGAAACCCCGAGGTATCTAAATGGAAGCGTAAGTTCGCTGAAGCCTAGGAGTTGTAAAATCTGGGTTCATAGTTCCGCTAAACCACCTAACATGAAAGTCTCACTCTTATTAGCATTTGGCGTGAGGCCGGACCAGCAAGAGAATAGCCGAAGTCCATCTTGCAAAATAGTAATGGACTCCAATCTTGCTTCAGAAAAGAGAAGGACATCATCGGCAAAGAAGAGATGGCTAAGTTTGGTGGCCTTACAGTGCCAAAAGAATTTGAAACCAGGCAGCCGAGTTTGATTGTTCAGGATGCCTGAGAATACTTCCATGGCTAGTGTAAAAAGATAGGGAGAAAGAGGATCTCCTTGTCGAATGCCTCGGCCGCTAGAGAAGAAACCATGGAGTTCACCATTAATAGCCACAGAAAATTTCGGTGTGGTGACACATTCCATGATAAGCTTGATCATAAATGATGGAAAGCAGAATGCTTGCAGAACTAATTCGAGGAAGTTCCAGTCAAGAGTGTCATAAGCTTTTTGAAAGTCAACCTTAATGGCACATTTCGGAAGGTATGGCTCATGGTGGAAGCCTGCAAATAATTCCTAAGCTAGGAGAATATTATCAGCAATCCTCCTATTCTTGACAAAAGCATTTTGGTGGGAACTGATAAGAGTTGGCAGAACTGTGGAGATACGGTCGGCCAATATTCTGGATATACATTTGTATATGGTGTTGCAACACGCTATAGGCCGGAAGTCATTCATTGACTGGGCATTGTGGACCTTCGGCACAAGCGCTATGATAGTAGTGTTAATTTCTTTTAATAAAGATCCAGACTGAAAAAAATCAGCGATTGCCGAGGTGACAGAGGAGCCAATAATATCCCATTTAGTTTTAAAGAAATCAACATTATACCCATCAGGTCCAGGATCCTTGCCTTTGGCCAGAGAAAACATAGCATTACGAATTTCACTAACCGTCACCTCTCGAGATAGCAAAAGGGTCTGATTATCATCCAGCATATATTGGAGAGTGTTCCGAATGGTCGCTAAATCAGGCGGAGAGGGTGTTGTGTCAGCCGCAAGAAAAGTTTCAAAGTGATGAACAATGTGCTGCTGAACAAGGTTTAGGTCGTTAAGGATTACACCATTGGAGTCAGAAACCGAAATGATGCGGTTCTGAAGGTGTCTCTTGTTTACAAAGTGGTGGAAGTATTTGGTGTTGCAATCACCTTCTGTCAACCACTTTATCCTTGACCTTTGTTTGTAAAAGGATTCCTCTTGAAGACGCAGTTCCGAGAAAATCCGAGACTGATCCTTTTCTATTTGGGCCGGGTCTATAGTAAAAGGATCAGAGGCAAGAGCATCCTGGGTAGTAAATAAGGCTAACCTGGCTTGCACGGTTCGAGTTGAAATATTAGAGAAGGAATCTCTGTTAAGAAGTTTAAGGCGACCTTTAAGCATTTTGAGCTTCTTGGATAGAACGAACATGGGGGTGCCCGTAATATGTGAGTCCCATACCTGGTTGATCGTATCCAAAAAAGAAGGATGGGCCATCCAATAATTGAAAAATTTGA